TCCGGGGCGCTCAACACTCCCGGCCTGATTAAGCCCTCTGTTGGCATTTCACTCTTTCCTTATGACTAGGAGAAGAAAAAAAAACCAAGAGAAAAAAAAATGACTTTAAAAAAAAATTACTTCTCTGTTCTCCTGTCGTAGTCCCGGGTTTCGGCACCAGTTAAGCGTCGGCGGACTCTAACAATAAAAAAAAAGAAAGGAAAGGGCTTGAAATGCAACACTCACGGTTTCAGAAAAGATACTGATTTATTCCTTTAGTAATCCTCCTTATATACATTTCATATGTTTATTTACATTCAGGACGGTATTAAGGCTGATATCGCCGGTCTCCGGTCTTTATCTTATATATATATATATATATATATATATATATAAGAAAATTATATGTAGGTGTGTATAAATATATATATATTTATTTATTTATTATATATATATATTAAACAAGCTACTGATCTACAATACTATACTGAGCCCAATTTGGACATAGGGAGTAGAACTTTGGGGTTCGACAAAACAAACACACATAAATAAAATACAAACAACACAATAAAAAGTTGTCAATACACCTTGGTACATTTCGAATAACATTATACGCAACGACTTAAACATCCCAACAGTAAAATCCTACATCCACAACAACAGTTCATTTCATTCTTCAACTCTAAATCACATCAATGCGTTAGTCCTTTCTATTTCCTGCTCTCTGTTACCTGATCGACGCAGACAGAAAAGAAAATGGCCAAGTGACCTACTCCTACATTAATAACAAGAAAAAAAATATATAATAATCAAGCAAATTCACAGCTAATGGCTAATACATGAGATTTGGTAGATGCACTGCAGGGCAGGTGCAAATTCCATAAAATGTTAAAATAAAATTAAAAAAAAAATAAAAATTTATTAAAACATTCTGCTTTATCAAAAAATTAGTATTTAAAAATTATCACCTAATAGTATACCAGTTCTTTTTTCACATATCTCAATTATGGATATTGATCCTTATATTATTAGGTTAACAAATAAATGTTCCTAGCTCCTAATCTTAATTATGATATTTACGTTTTTTGTGAAATAATTCCAGCAATTGCAGGATTTAATTTTTTTCAGAAATAAGAATTAATAGTAATGAGCTATTACTTTAAAGTATTGTAATAATCTCCATGTCTTATGGCATTAGGGATTTTATATCTCTGATTATGGCTATTCCTGAAATTAAATATCCTATTCCTTGTAAATGTTACTTCTTCTGAAAAATAAAATAGAATAAAAATCGGAAAAAAATTACAAAACAGTTTGCAGTTCTTTTTTACAAAATTATTAGTTGATCTTAGCTTATTGTGTAACAAACCTCAACTTAACTCATATTGATTTAAAGCTAATGAAACAAGAAAGATTTTTTAACAGTGGGGTATCTGTAGTCCAGTTGGAGGGTGATAAAAAAAGTCATAAATAATCTATGATTTTTCGAAAAACAAAACTTAATGTAGATAAGCAGCTTAAAAGTCCCCTTTAAATGTTTTAACAAAGTCAAACTTTATTTACATTTGAAGGAAATTTTGTCTAGTTTGCTATGAAGCTATTGTTAATTATCTCAACTAACTATTATTTTACTTATTTAAAATATTGTTTTCTACTCAGAAAAATACTTGATTCACTTAAAAAACACAACACTTAACCCAGATTGTGACCATCACATATATGAACTTTTTGGTAACTCTTATGGTCTATTGTCACCTATTTAAATATTTCCCATTACTTATAGAGTATTTTATAAATAATGAATATTTAATAGTTGACCGTTGCATTATTAAGGAAGGAGATGGTCCAGGGTGGCGGTCATAAATAGGCTGAATATTAATCAGGTCATAAATAACTATTTTATTAAAAGTCAACATTTTGACCTGACTTTGTAGGTCTTCTTCAGGGCTAGAACGGACAAGATACAAAAAGATAGAGACTTGTGGAAGTTACATAATATTATGTTAAAAAAATATAAACAATGTGAATAGGCTTATTAAAATTATAAACAGTAAGTGCATTAAAATATAAACAGAGTAAGCTAAGTAACAAGATCCTAAACTGAAGTAAATAGATGGTAACAATAGTTGTAGTGAAATATTTAATATATGCAAATGTGAATATAATTCTACAGATCTACAGGAGAGATTGAAAAAAAAGGAAAAAGGATATAGTATTAAATAATAGACATAAAGGAATGTGGAGAATGAAAAGAAAAAAGAAAACCAAAAAATAAGTAAATAAAATTAGAAGAATAAGAATAGAGACTTACAGGTGTATTCGCTAGGAGTATCACTTAGAACTGGAAAATCAGGGTAAGGGCAGGTATTGGGGGAATTTGTTGACTTGTTTGGGTAATGGGGAAAAACCTAGAAAATTCTAGTATCTAAAATTTGAAGATATGGATGGATACAAGGGAAAAAATACTATATCTAAGAAATATTAAATTATAAATATATATGTATACATATAAAATAGAATTAAGAGATTATGTATAAAGGGTACAATGTGAATAAAAACGAAAATGGAAGAAGTAAAATGTACATAGAAGTAAAATATAAATATTGAAATAAGAAACCATACATTGCAGAACTAACTTAGAAGCATAGAGAGGGGAAAAAATATGAATAATTATAACTATATTTGGTTGTACATATGTAAGAAATATTAGATAATATTGAGATATGGTTACAAAGTAAAATGAATACAAAGTGAAAACGGATAATCATACATTGTTGTAGAATGTAAATATAAAATTAAAATAAAATAGAAAGAGAGATCGTACAAAGCGGAAATACTTAGAATAATGAACAATTAGATTGAATTAATCAATAAAAATTGAAAGTAGATAAAAATAATAAGATGTAATGTATAAGTTGTTTTTCACTTATAAGATTTAAAATGTGTCTATATGCTAAAGAAATGTAGTTTTTATCTACTTTATGATTTACAAGATTCTGTAACATGTGAATATGGATGGATTTGGAAATGAGTCTTTTTTCATGATTAGGGACCGTGGCAAGAATAGAGGTTTTTTCAAAATCAAATGAATGGTTGAGGGTTAAGGCATGTTCTGATAGTTTGGAGGTGGAAGGGTTCCGGGAAGTTATGGATGTTTTATGTTGGGAAATGCGGGTTTTGAGATGGTTTTTGGTTTTGCCAATATAGTAGTAGAGCAAGGTATCTGGTAAACTACATTAGATCGGTGTTCTAAAAGAATGGGATCCTTCAAGTTGGTGAAAAGGAAAGAAAGTTTGTTATTGGACTTAAGGCCAAGACGTAAGTTGGTTATAGTCGATTTAAGGAATTCTAATATATTATCTGAGAGAACAGGAATATAGGGAAGAGATTTGTATATGAAAGGAGTGGTAGGTGATTGTGGGGAGTTGGGAGAAGGGGAGGTTGTACTCTTTTTGGTTGTGTAGCAGTTTAAAAGTTTATTGTGGATTAGATAAAAAGAGAGATCGGTGAATAAGGTTTTTGGCGGTATTGATTTTTTGGTGATATGGGTGTTGAGAATAAAAGTTGAGTAGTCTGCCTGAATACGTGGGTTTAGTGTACCAGTCAGTAGAAACATAACCGTCTTTTTTTTTTTATTTATTTTTTTTTTTAGGAGGTCTAAGAGTGAATTGTTAACTTCTTTCTCTATTGTTAAACGGAGACAGGGGTGGTGAGAGTTGAATGAGAAAAGTATTTGAGGGATGCTGTCAGGGTTAAGAACAAGGAGGAGGTCATCAACATATTTTTTGATTAAAATGATGTCTTGATGAAAAGAAGGGATAACAGTATTGAAGGTCATTGAGAACAATATTGGAAATATCTGGTGCTAAAGAATTTTCTGTGACGGCCTGAAATCTGATTAAAGAATTTTCCTTGGAAGGTGAGGTATCCAGATCTGCAACAAGGTTCAAGGGATTCAAGATATGGGGAGAGGTTAGGGGTGGTGTGAGGTTCGATGATTGTACAGTTTTTCTGTTGATTGACTTTAAAAAAGTTCATATATGTGATGGTCACAATCTGGGTTAAGTTTTTTGTTTTTTAAGTGAATCAAGTATTATTAGTATCATTTGCATATATTATATATTTCACTACAACTATTGTTACCACCTACCTACTTCAGTTTAGGATCTTGTTACTTAGCTTATTCTGTTTATATTTTAATGTACTTACTGTTTATAATTTTAATATGCCTATTCACATCGCTTATAATTTTTTGTCATAATATTATGTAACTTCCACAAGTCTCTATCTTTTTGTATCTTGTCCGTTCTAGCCCTGAAGAAGACCTGCAAAGTCAGGTCGAAACATTAGCTTTTAATAAAATAGTTTTGCCACCATTCAGCCTATTTATGATCGCCACCCCGGACCATCTCCTTCCATTTTATAAATAAAAATAAATATAAAGGAGGTCCTGTATAAAATGAAAATATTTAAAGAGATGATAGTAGACTTGATGAGATGTAGAAAAGCTTACATAAACTATGGTCCGATTTTCTGCAGAAAAACATGTAATTTAAGTCATATTTCTTAAGTTTCTCATGATTTTTGTTCAATAGGAAGTGATAACTAAAAAAAATATCTCATAATAATTTTTTTGAGGTAATTAAAATGAAAATTAGAAAGGCGTTAATAACCTCCAGATTTTATGCCCCTATAAGTCCTAAATAACAACAACTAAAAAAAATATTTAATTTATGTAGTTAATAATTGTTTTAGATTTTGGACATATGAGGTTTTGTTTTTCAAAGACAATATTAAATCAATTATTAACACAGAAAAATAAAATAAAACAATCTCATCATATACATCATGTACAATAACAGTTATTCTTTAAGAAATTCTCTTTCAGCTGCCCTTATTATTTTATTAGTCTTTTTTTCTGGTGATTGTGTATTTTTCCAGAGTAGATTATTTTGGAGGGATATATATGTAATGAGAAAGAGTTACAAATATAAATTTAGTCTTCTATTTTATTTTTTCAGGAGCCCTTGCTGTTCCGTTTTTCATTTTAACTGTGATTATGATGTGATATCTGCCTTGCTGTTACCTGTTATCTGCTGAAATAAAGTCCATATATATTATTTTTGAAATTTAAGTTGTAATACTATTCTGATATCTTTACATTTTATTTAAACTACATATTGCTGTGTAGAAAATCCTTTAATATTATTTTATATGTTCTCTTTAATAGTTTATTTAGGAATATTTTATATTCTCGATTCTTTGGGACCATTGCACCATCATAGTTGAAACTATAGCTCAATGAATCTCCAGTCATTGGTTTTTAGTAAGATTGTGTCTAGTAACTCAGTTTTGTTCAGAATATATAAAAGCCATGGTAGTCATTATTAGTGAAATATTGGTACGAATGTAAAATGTACTTAGTCTTAGAAATAAGTAATAAATGGCTCTCTAATAGAACCCTCACTGTCTTGAAATTGTTATTGTTATATCAGCCACATAATTTCTGATATTTCATTATTTCTTAACCCCCACATGATTCTCTTGGTGGTTACAAATTTTTTTAACTATATCTGGTTCAGTTACTTAACAACAAAATAGCTTATTATAAGAACTAATAAGCCTCATCAGACCCTGTTCGACAAAAAAAAGCGGGTCAAAACCACTCCTATGTAAAGGATGTTGATTTATACCAGAAAATATGTTTTTAGCAAATGAGAAACATGATTATAACATTTTCACATATTCGGCCATATCATTTAAAAGTGGTCCTGAACAATGATTGGAGATTTATTAGATTGGTAAATTGTGTTTGTGCAAAGGACATTACTCATGTATATTCAATTCATATTATTTAATGCCATGTTTGTAAATATGTATATACTTGAATTAGGAATCAGAATACAGAAAACATTTTCAGTTGAATATATAATTTTAAATCCATTATGTTCCTCAGACTTTTATTATTATAGATTAATATACAACAAATCTATTTTTACATGAATATTTATTCAAAACAAAAGCATATGATAAATACAGACAATATATTAAATTGATTATAATTAAAATAAGAGTGAAGTAATGACAGTTTTTCCTTTCTATAATTTTATTATTTTTCAATTATTAATTATTTACAATTACCCTCATTCTTGTTTTTTTTTTTTTTTTAAATACATGAAATTTAAAATGTTCTTTTTTTTAAAAATTAATTTCAAAGAATTATAAGGAATTAGTTCCAAAATTAGAAAAATTATCCTGTTTTATTTTTAAATAATTGAATTTTTTATTAAGTGATTTCGAAATACCTTAAATATCTTATTACATTTAAAGGAAAAAAAAAGAAAGAAAGATATGTCAGTTTATCACAAAAATATCCTATTTGTTATTATAATTTTTTTAAAAATTAAAATTATATTTATTGTTTAAAATTAGTATTAAAATTTCTCAATGCTAATTTAGTTTTCATTTGAAATACTATTAAAATGTTATATTCCAATTTTTGATACCCATAGATTTTCTTTTTATGGTTGTCATCAATAAAATGTGCTTTTCCCTTCTTTCCTTTGATAAAAAATTTATAATAACCTTTTTATTATGAATGTACTTTAAAATATTGGGTACCTTCAGTTTCAGGAAATAGACTTTTTTCTAAAATAATTTTAAAAAATTTGTTGAAGGAAATTTTACTTGTTGGTTTGATCTTTGTTCAGCTTGAGGTCTATGACTTGTTTTTAAACTTAAAGTTTGTCAAACATTTTACTGGTAAATCTTGTCTAAGTTTATATCTAATTATCAGTAATGCTAAGTGCTGGAACCACTTAAATTGTTAGAATTATTTATACTTTATAATTTTTGTTATATTTTAATGATGAAAGAATTCACTCTACATTCACTTACACTGGAAGTTCCAATTTGGGAAAAAATTTGTTTATATATATTAAATAATTTTAATTGATAACTATCTGAAAAATCATAATATAGTATCAAAAGTTTATTTTATTCATATATATATATATATATATATATATATATATATATATATATATTATAAGGTGTCCTATGAGAAAATGACATTAATTGAGGGGAAAATAAGAAATAAACTACTGAAAGGAATGGGGAAACTCAGTGAAAATGGCACTCTAATGCTCCAGGTTTAGGTGACTGGCTTTGGTAGGTAAATATTTATTCTATTACATCAGCAGTGGATCGACCCTGAGATCGGGAGACACCCTGGAGCACACTATAAAGCCTCTATAAAGTGGGTACATTTTATTAAATAATTGATTAAGGAAAGAAGCCTGATCTTGGTCAAATCACATCCTTGCACAACCATTGACCAAGAAATAGTACTTACTTATAAAGTACTGAACCCAAGACCCTTCATGGGTTGTAGTGTTACAGCTCATAATAGTCAAACAAAAATGTAGTTCAGCACCACGAACTGCACATTAATATTACAATCCATTGTGGAATTATGATATTTTAAAAAGAAAAATAATCAGGTTTTCCCCTCCAAAAATCCATATTTGCCCAATTTTACAAAACATTTCTCAACTTTTGTCTCAATTTTTTTAATTTACGATAAATGTTTTAAGATAGCAAAATAATTAATTGGAAAACAATGCTTTATTAAACTATTATGGCAGCCAACAGGACTAAAGCTATTATTATTTTCAATTAGGGGCAAGCTTAATTTTACAGTATTTTAGGTAATAAAGTTTAAAATAGATATCAACACTTCATAACAAACTCATTTTATTGACTGAATTAAGATCAAAATAATCACAATATAAAAAAAAAAATTATTTAACCTAAAAATACAATCTCATTCAAAATTTGTCTCCCGGGGCAAGTGCTCTTTGTCGCTCTATTGTTCTTGACCTGGAAACCAAAAAAGGAAAAACAAATAATTTTTCCAAATACCTCATTAGAATCTCATAATGAATTTTCAAAGTGTATCCTTGGGGAATTCATAAAACTTGCTTCATTTCATCAGCTTTCTAGTGGTATATTCTTCTTTGTAAAACTCATCTAATTTTAAACTGGTATTGTGGTTGTAAGCTTAAAAAAAATTAAATTCCTAAAAACATTGCTCAAAAATTCATTTTGTGAGATTCGAACAGGATATTTTTCATTCATTTTTACACGTTAACTTTTCTTTAGTTCAATAAGTTTGTGAAAAAGAGATGTTTAATTACAAATCAGTGTCTTATCACTGACATTTCTTCCTGGTACCTTCTGTATTAAATTTTGGTATGTTTGATTACATTATTTTTTTATGTACATTTTTAAATTTAATTATCTTATACATATTTTTGTGACAGAATATTAAATTATTATTAATATTTTCATCTATGAAGGACCTATTTGTAATATGTATTCAGTTTTAAACCCGTATTGCCTAATTGTCAATATTGTTGTTTGATAATTACCACCATATCTGCTTAAAACAATAGGTATGTTCTTTGGTAATTGTTTTTAAATGAAGATTACTTTAAAGAGGATTTCTTAATTGTCTGACACTCTAACTCCAATAGTTGTTATACAAAATTTATACACATCATTTTCATGTCAAATATAGTTAAGCAAAGGGCTGCTATAAATTGGCAACACTGATTTCTATTTAAAGATGCTATTTTTCTTGCTTTACTGCCAGCCGGTCTGGGTTTTTTTATTTACCTCTCTTACCATTTATCTCTTACATGTTTCCTCATTTCTGAGTACCTCTTGCATTTTTATTAATGAATTAATGTTTTCCTAAGATGTGATCTGTAAAATTAAAAATCCTATTCTTAATTATTATTTTAGGACTTAGTAGGGTGTAGATATTAATGTTATTCCGTTTTTAGTTATGCCATTTTAATGTATCTCCTATTTTATTTAGGGTTTTCCTAGCATACTTTTTCTACCTATTCTATTCTCTGTTTTTGGTCAAGATTTTTTTTATTAATGTTTTACTACATGTCTATCTAAAAACTCTTCTCCCTACAAACCAGATGATTTTATGAAGCACTGATTTATTTCACCTCTTTAAAATTTCTTCAGTATCTTTTGGTACATTCTTTTTGTTTGTTAAATTAATAATTCACTTGTATGTTGTTGATACCAACTCAGGTGTATAAATATCAAAACAGACAGTACAAACATTAATTTTATATGCATTGGGATTGAGTCGTGTAATTAGGTTAGAAGCACCCTAGAGCAGTGTTATCACTGTTGGGGTTATAAAATGTTCTAATTTTTTTAAAAATAAATTGAAATCACTTTTTAAATTTAATGTAAGTACTATTTATTTAATATATCTCAAACATTCATTTTAATTTAGTTGAAATTATATTTTTGTATAAATATATTTTAAACTATAAACCACATTTCTTTTCTATATTTAAATATTACATGCTACATTTTTATCATATTATTAATTTTTGTAATCTTCTTAAAATTAAAAAAAAATGTGATTGAAGTAAATATTTAGTTTTGATTCCAACTCAAACAATAATATAAGCAATTTTTCTGAATTTGAACTTTAATATATTTTTGGTTGGTGTTTTACTGATTGATATGGTGTTAAATTGTACTGTTAAGATTGTTACAATTAAGAATACTCACTTACAGAATTTGTTATATTTTTTATTTATGTGTTCCATTCATGTACAATATTAAGCAATAAGTGAAAAAAAGTTGTAAATAATATATAGTGTAAATAAACAATTTTTTTTAACAAATAATAAAATGTGATATATTTTGTATACATTTTAATCTTCAGTACCATTCCATTTTCCACAAATGGATACCTACATACTTATTCTTGTAATTTTATCCTTATGACCCTAAAATGTTCTTAAGAGTTAAGAGTGAATAAATATGAGCAAAAAGAAATTTCTTATTAAAAAATGTACCCATAAGTTAAAAAAAAAAAGAGTGCATATACATTAACTGTTTGAACACAACTCCTCGCACTGCTTATAATTATCATTTTTGACTAATGGATAAAATTAATGAATTGGGAGTTTATCCCAATAGCTCAGTTTGTTATTCTCGGAATAAAGAATAAATTAGGTAAATAGACAAAACTAAACTTTATTTATTAAACATGGATGTCTATTCAATTATTATTATTAGTTGGGCACTACAACTTGGTGGCGAGTCCTGCTCTCCTCAACCAGCTTCCTCCAAACATCTCTGTCTCTGGCAGCCATCATCCAGTCCCTGATGCTGAGCATAGTTCAAATGTCCTTTGTCACATCCTCTGTCCATCGAAGCTTCCCTCTCCGTCTTCTTCCAAAAAGCTGTTCTGTTAACAGCTTCTTTGGTATCTCTTTATCTCCCATACAGGACACATGACCAGCCCAATGTAACATTCCTGTAGGACAAGCCAAAGCGTCTCCTTGCCTTATGCCCTTACCCGTGCTGAATTCTTTATTCCTATCACTTTTTATTTGTATTGTACATTGCACATTGTTTTATGTGGGTTTGATGAGCCTTATGAGTTTATCAGGTATTTAACAAAGCTGGGTAAGGCTTTGTACAGTTCTTCCCTATTGATGTTGTCATAGGCTGCTTTAAAGTCGATGAACAAGTGGTGTGTTTTGATATTATATTCATGTCCCTCTCCAGCTTAGTGCGAAGACAGAAAATCTGATCAACAATTGATTTTCCTTTCCTGAAGCCACATCACTCTGTGGCTAACTCTGCATAAGGTAACGCGTTGAAAGAGAATATTAAAAATACTTTATTTGAAGATGGCAGTAAGGAGATACCTCTATAGTTGCTACATACCACCCTGTCTCCTTTTTTGTGGATTGGGATAACTACAGTTTTATTCCACGTTAATGGCAACTCTTGTTTTATCTATATAGTAGATAATAGTTATTATATTTTGAAGGACTTTAATGAGTTCTTCTAAATTACCTCAATATTTAACTAACTCAGCTGGGAATCCAACAATGCCTGCTGCTTTATGATTTTTTAATTTGTTGATGGCTTCCTCTATTTCTTCTTCATATGGAGGCTAGAGGCTTACATCTGGTGCAATTTGATTTATTTCAGGTGCTTCATCCGAGTTTTCAACGGAAATACACGTTTTAGGGTACCCTGAGTCCAAATAACCAAGTCCCAAAAAATGGTCTGTGTGTATGTATGTTAGCAGTCTTGCTCAAAAATCAATAGTTCAGAGAGTTCAAGATTAGTAAAACCTTAAAATCTTATGAATAGAAAAAAATTAGAGATAGAAAACACAAACTATATCTGCTCACAATACTCTGTGAAAAGTGATACGAAATCTTTTCCATATTTATGAAATAAATAAATAACTAAATGAGGCATAACGAAAACTAAAACCTTGTTACATAATAAATAATTACCCAGCGTCTGATTGAATTGTGAAGAGGAATTGGAATAAGAGGGTTTAAATGTGGATGAGGATGGTGCATGACGATTTCTAAGCGGGTCGGAATTCCAAAAAGCGGTGGAACGGACATTAAAGGAGTGTTGGAATAAAGCAGTTCATGGAAAGGACTCTAAAGGTCAGAAGGAGGAGATCTTGTAGGAGGGAATGGATAGATGACTTGAACTGAAGGAGATTGTGTGCATAGGACGGACGTTAATTATAGATTATTTGGTAAAGGACTGCGCCTAGGAAATATTGTCTTCTGAAGAAGGGGAAGAGCCATTCTAACTCAGAATAGTATTGGGAAACACGAGAACGTCTCGGGGTTCCATTGACAAATCTTACTAAGCCATTCATGAGTCTTTTCAGTCTTTCTCCGAGAGGCCACAGTAAACCCCCATAGTCAAGATGGGGGAAGATCAAGGAGATACAGATGGACATTGATAGGAGATGGCGGAAGCGATGGAATAGTTTCAGAGTAGAAACTGAACTGGGAGATGTGGTCAATATGATGATTGCAGGAGAGGGTTTGGTCTATGAAAATG